TTTGATAATTTCTCATAAAACACTAAATTTAAGGCTTTAAATGATTATCAAATATTACTATGACAATTTCCATTCTTAATGTTACAATTTCATATTTTCTAAGAAAGTCAAAACATAACTATTTCTATGTCTTTTGCTCAATAGGTATCAACTCACTATTATACAGTCATAGGCATTATTTCCCACACTTAAAAATCATTGACACAGGAAATAATAACACAATTACCCCCATTACCTCCCTTGTTTTCCTATTCTCCAACATGGAATAGCTATCTTCAAACGTTTGAATTTGAAGTTGAAAATGATATTTTTGCCAATTTCTCAACTGACAATAGTGAATTATAGGATTAATAGGATTATTCTTTAACAAGGTAGGACTGTTTATAGGTACCATCTATTTTAGGGCTTTATTTTAATACATTAAACAATATAACTTAAAAATATGAAATTGTAACTTTAAATATATAAAATTAGGGTTTTAGCATCCATTTATCAAAATTCATAACTTTCCAAACTAAAAAATAAATTTTTGTTGATTTCCGTTAGGTGTTCATTTTACACTGACATACGAAACAGTTGTTACGCGTGTCATTAAACGGGTCCTACTCTATAACAGAACCCAGTTCTATGGCGCGCGTTGTATCATAAGGTCTTTCATTGAGTCAACTGGAGTGGTTTCGATTCACCGGTTTTACGTGACAAGGAGTAGGGTCGCTTGTCCAACCTCCTGGGTCCTCCGGTTTCCTTCTACGGCTAAAGACCCCTACGCACAAAAGCGAATTATTGAAATAAAATTGAACCATATGTTAGTCCCGAAATGACCTAGTTTGTGTGCGTCGAGTTGACGTTAACCCCCCCTCTCTCTCTCTCTCTCTCTCTCTCTCTCTCTCAACGGCTATGAAATGTACGAAGGTGAAAGGTGAACTAAATAAATTCACAACATCTCCAATTAATTTTACTAGGTAATGATTTGTATTAGCGAGTTTATAAACCAGAGTAATACACGAGATATACCCACGGTCTGTGTTAGATATATGTTTAGATATTGCCCGCGGCTTCTCGTCTTAATAAAACAATCAAACTAACTATTTACTCTGACCTGAGATTCTGTTTCACATATATACACATTATTCCCTTGAGAAAATAACTCTACACCTAATAATATTCACTCATTCAGTTTCATTTACACGAATTGAATAGGTTTTTTTATTGACACGTCTTGTGCTCAAGGTTCCCTTGTTCCAAACAAAATGGCAATACATCGTGTTTGTAGCTGGATTTGGTGTAGTATATATACTATACCATTAACTGTGAATCGTCTGTCTTAATCATTGTGTTTTTGTTGGATAGCCAAAGCAAATGAAGGAGAGAGAGAGAGAGAGAGAGATAGAGGAGAAAACTTCAAGCAAATCGGATTTAACGTCGTACTTTTCTGCCCACGACTGGGTAATTGAGATGGCCAAGGAAATAGAGATACGGAGAAAAACCAGTGAATGTAGAAATGAAATGAAATGGAGTTTAACGTCCTACTGTTCTGCTCCTAACCTAGGCTAATGAAGACGGGCATACGCCATACAGTGTGCTATGAGGGAAATTTTGCCCGGACAGCGGCACTACGGCCTACTCTTATATCGAATTCCAACTGCCAAGGGATCTTTTAAGTGCACGCCAATGTGTACACGGGACCTCGGTTTTTCGTCCCATCCGAACGACTAGACAGCTTTCCTTGTCAGCCCCTCCGTCCTGCATCACTGACAAGGGAAAACCACGCCGGACAGTGAATGTAACGCTCTTAGATGATATGTTATTATTATTATTATTATTATTATTTTGTTGTTGTTCTTCTTCTTCGCCTTTTGTTTAGTATTATCGAATAAATTTTAGCTTTTTATGAGAAAAACTATATTTATTATTTTAAAATATTAATGTATATTAGAAAAAAATATATTTTGCATATGATATAAATAATATAAATGATATAAGTATATTTTGAGTTGGGAATCTCATTTTGTGTACTCGAAGTATTTTGGATATAATATTTGTTGAGTTTTTTTTTTCCTTTTTAGAAAAATATTTTATGTTACAGAATTGTATTGTGAACTAATAATATTTCGTGTAATGATACACTGAAATTGCAGTATTTTTTATTGGAAAAACGATATTTTGTAATAGAAAAATGATATCTTGTATTTTTGATATCTTGTATTAGAAAAATGATATTTTGTTTTAAAGTATTAGAAAAGAATAATGATATCTTGTATTGGAATAATGATATTTTACATTCGAAAAATGATATTTTACATTCGAAAAATGACATTTTGCATTAGAAAAATGATATTTTGTATCATTTTTTGTTTGAACCAAAAAAAAATGATATTTTGTTATATTGATATTTTGTATTGGAACAATTGTATTTTTATTTTATAGTGGGCAAATGCTTTTGTATGGCAGAAAAGGCTATTGTGTAGCAGAAAATTGTATGGCAGAAAATTATAGAAAATGCTTTTGTTTGTCAGAAAATGCTATTGTTTGGTAGAAAATGCTATTGTTTGGTAGAAAATGCTATTGTTTGGCAGAAAAAAATAATTTGTTGTAGAAAATCATTATTTGTAACGTGAAATGGTATATTGGAAAGACATTATTTCCGGAACGAATATTAGTATCTGATATATAATGGAAAATGACCCATGAAGAAACCGTGCTTATTCAGATGGAATATCACACATTTCTCTAAATTCATAAAATAAGAAGCGGAATAAAACTTTAAAACAACTATCAAGGGTTTGCCGATAGAAAAGGGGATTATCCTTACAAAACGCTAGTTGAACATCGTGATGTCAGAGTAATCGAAGATAATTTTTCAAAGAGACAGAAAAAGAAGAAAAATGAAGTAGCAAGAAAATTAACCAGGTTTTTTTCTACTGAATACAAAAAATATATAATTCTATGTTTTTCGAAAAGAAGTAACTGATTTGGAACATAGATCTATTTGCATATTTAAACACAGTCGAAGTATATAACTTCTAATTTTAAAAAAATATATATATCTGGCTATATTTAGACCAATCATATTAGAAAGCACGAGAAGTAGATAAAGATTTAAAGATGGCGGATAAGAATATTGTTTACTCTGTTTCTTATCACATAAAGTAGAAAGATGGAATAAAACATCTCTTTTACATACACATTTAATAACGCCAGAGTGGAGTTCACTTGTTCCCGCGTAAATTGGTATCAAACAGACGGTGTAACTAGATAGTTCCTAATGTTTATCTATATGATAGCTCCCCGTTCAGCGGCCATCTTGAATCAAGCTGGTACCATATTAAGTCAGGCCAAGATTTAATAATTATATGATTTGATTTCTTTCTGTTTGTTACAATAAGAAATTGTAAAATCCATTCGAAGTTCTTTGCTTTTTAACTTCTTGACGCGTATTCATGACATAGCGACTATATACAACAATACATTTGGTCTTGACCGGAAAGCAGTAAAGTATGTGGAATTATATTAGCGGGGGTGCGGGGTGGGGGAAGTGGTCCAACGCATGCCCTGTGTAACGTAAGGCCTGATGTCTATACAAGACCCGGGTTCAAAACCCGGGTTTTGTACGAAACAGGAAGTATATTCGGGCACTCCCGTTTCCTCCCATTTCTAAAGCCCAGGAACGCAAGTCCCTCCCCAAATTACCCCGTTCTACAGAAAAGAAATGAAATGGGGTTTAACGCCCTACTGTTCTGCTCCGAACTGGGCTAATGAAGACGGGCAAACGCCATACAGTATACTATGAGTGAAATTTTGCCCGGAAAGCGACACTACGGCCTACTCTTATATCGAATTCTAACTGTCAAGGGATCTTTTACGTGCACGCCAATGTGTACACGGGACATCGATTCTTCGTCCTAGACAGCTGTCCTTGTCAGGCCCTCCGTCCTGCATCACTAACAAGGGGGAACCACGCCCAAAAACCAGGATGAACTTTATCGGCCAGCGACTTACCCACTTAATCACCGTGATTCCCTCGTTCTACAGAGTTTCTACATTAAACTATCTTGCATTTTCCCACCGGTACCCGATTACAGCTGGATACAATGGAGTACACAGACAAGAGATAAAGGATACCATTTAAGGAAACAACTATTTGAAACCCACGCAATCCTCACAACACGCAAGTTATTCCCCTTGGTTTTAACGGAAATTATTCACCAAATCAGTGGATATCTAACGGAGAAAGATATTAATAAATTAGTAATGAGCATTTAGTTGTGTGTAAAATATGATAGTATGTTCCTTTCTTAGCGGGGGTTTGGGTGGTAGAATGGATAACGCGTGCGCGTTGCATCATAAGGTCTGCCATAGAGTCAAGTGGCGTGATTTCGATTCCCCGCTTGTACGTGACAAGGAGTAGGGTCGCCTGTCCAACCTTGTGGGGTTTTTTTTCTAGGTCCTTCGTTCTCCTCCCACTGCTAAAGGCCCCTACGAGCAAGCGATTGATTGAAATAAAAAATTAAAGCATATGTTAGTCCCGAAATGACCTAGTTTGTGTCGAATGGACGTTAAACCCCTCTCTCTCCTCTCTCTCTCTCTCTCTCTCTCTCTCTCTCTGCCGTAGCATTAGGCACATCGTTCTGCTGCCTGAAAATAGGTAATATTAGGTATTTCGTTCTGCCGCCTAAAAATGCAACATTGAACCAACTTATTTGTGGCTTGAATTATTGTAATCCTATATATCGTCTTATTGTATTTCTTTTTATTTAAAGCATTTCATGATGGTGTGAATCGACTGTGGATATCGTTTGGAGACTTTAAAATGTTTTAGTCACGTACATCCATAGACTCGATGTATAATGGTTCATTTGATGAGGTCAGTGCATATAGATGAAGCTTAAATTAGATATCAATATAAATATTCAGTCTGATTCAACAACACATGGACATTAAAGATTAACTTGGGCTTCAATATTATTGAAATTAAATACTGAAATCATATATTTCTGAAGAATTAAATAAAAGCGGCCTAAATATGAACTGAGATCAAATTTGGAAATCATATTGAACGGTGAAGGGATAGAATTGCCTAGATTTTACAAACCTGCTAGATTTCCGATGAATTAAATAAAAGTGGCCTAAATATGAATTAATATCAAATTTCGGAATCACTATAGATAATGAAAACCACGGAACGAAAAGAATTAGCCCTACCGCACAACAGCTTTCAGAACTCTGGGTTGCTTTACAAATTTGTGAATGTTAAAACATGAAATGAACGAAAGAACTGGAATTTAATGTAGTGTTGATTTTTACGTCACAGCTTTTAAGATCTTTTGACCAAAGTTTGAACTTCAAAAATGCTTAAATCCAGAAACACACTTAAATGACAAAATTTCAATTTTCATGCACTCGGCAAAATAAACAGAACTAAGAAACAAAAAGGGTGAACGAAGTCGAATATAATATATTCCCTCACTCAATGACCTTATATTGTATTAAAACATATTTTAAAATGAGAAAATCGAGGCAAGGAAAATTAAAATACTGATTGCTATCACTTAGGAAAGAAATAAGTGTATGGGGGATTTTTAAAATAATGGAATTAGTTGATAACGTACGTAAAGTGTTTTTTTTAAATTCTCTTATTATTAATATTATTCTCTGAATTTTAGAACAGTGGCGTCAATAAGGTCGAGTTAAGTACAAAATAAACTATTTTTTTTTTTCATGCACAAAAATGAAAAATTAAAATCGACTGGTTGGTGTGTCTATTATATTCTTGAAATAACATTTATTCGCCTCCACAAATTAAGTCTTAATTAATCATTAGACAGGCCTTGTCGCAATATTGTAAATAAATGGCGTAAATCTTATTGTACTTGAATAAATAGGAAAAAGATGAAGAAAAGGGCACGGAAGGTTGAAATAAGAATTAAGATAATGTATATATGCTTCTAGATTATCTAGACACAACATTGTAATTCAGATTTAAGATACGCCATTACATAATGTCGACATTCACAACTTTAATGTCGGATATTTATGAATATCTTCTACGTTTGAGTTATAAGAACTATGTTTTTTAAAGTGAATTCCAATTTCTAAAATTTATAAATCTAAATCAGATTTTCTAATTCTAAATTGTCACATTTTATTTTAAAAGAAATTAAATTCATGGAAACATATTTCTAAGAAAACAGTTTTGAAATTTAAGATATGTCATTACATAATGTCAGCATTCACAACTTCAATGTCGGATATTTATGAATATTTTATACGTTTATAAACTGACGAAGTTTGAGTCATAAGAATTAGATTTTTTAAAGTCGAATTCCAACTTCTAAAATTTATAAATCTAAATCAGATTTTTTAAATTCTAAATTGTCACAACTATTTTTAAAGAAATTAATATCATGGAAACATAGTTTTAAAAAATATTTTTTTAGATACATTCGTTTTTCATCAATAAATGTCATTTCTTTCTAACATTAACAATTTTCTGTGAACCCATGTATACGATTTCACTCGACCGGTATTTCAGTGTCTTCTGTTCTTGATAATTCATTCAGCACACGACTTTGACATTTCGCCCGTATATTTCTGTTTTTTGTATTTTGGTGACTTCCTCACTAGTCCATCCTGTCAAACTGAAATAATAGATTTGTAAATGGTCGCTTTCTTGACACATTTTGCTACAAAAACAAATCTTAGTAAGAATAGGAAGTATGAACCCTGATTGTTTTCATCTGTTGACCATTCTCGTTCACCAGGAACTCGTCTTCTTCTTTTGCGTTACTATTTATGAAATGGTGTTGAATGTTCTATTTTCCTGCTAATGAAGATGCACATGCACCCTGCAGTGTGATGCGAGGACATTTGGTCGAAATCCAGCTCACGACTCGACGTTTTTCTTCCTTGGCAGGTTAACCCCCACCCGCACCTCCCGTCCTACACGTCTAACAGCGGGCAAACCAGGCCCGAGTTCACAAAGCATTCTAAGAGTTAAGTTCACCAGGAACTCGTTTAGGCTAACAAGAGAAAAATTCTGGATTGACAAAGTGAAAACAACAGCCCCCCCCCCCCCCCCCACTAGGTTTGAATATTCATACGGCTAGCGCAATAGCTCCTTTTGTAGTTCCATTTAGCGCAACAGCAGCAAGTGCGTCCAAAATCATCAGAAAACACTATACTGATCTCCAAGAAAATCACCCGAAAATATTCACACAGAAACTTATAATTGCATATTCTAAAAATAAAAATCCGAACGACATCCTAGTGCACAGTAAATTAGATTAAATAAGACCAGTCTCCACCCTGACCCAAAACAAACCATATATCAAATCCTATGCCTAACCGTTAGTAATTAAAATCAATAAGATATAAGAATCCCTAGCCGTAACCCGGTGATGTGGAACAAACACGATTTTTTTAGAAAATCCAATCCGTTGTAGGAAACACACTAATGTGGCTCTCTCCCGAGAGCCTCAAATTTATTTTCTTTTTTCTTCAGAAACAATAATACCAGAATACCAGAAGCACAACCCAAGGAAGACCATCAGCGCCACCAACACCAATAAACAGTGAAATCGCCTTTGTATATAAATCTAATGTATTGTATGTATTTTAATAAAACTAGGAAATATCACGAACTAATTTTTCATCATCCTAGGTCAGTGCCTATGTGGAGACTTAACCTCTCCCCCCAAATTCTTAAACCTAACCCTTTTAAGAGAAGTAAAAACTAAATTAGACCCAAGTTCAGTCTTTCAAAAAGGGTTAGGGTTCGGGTTAGTTATCCTCAAAATTCTCATTTATATAAAGCGGCCTTTTTGGACTCCGGAAGCACCCGAACCTCGATAAACTACTAGAAGGTTTTATTTATACCGTGCGGTAAGGACGGCCAGCCCTCGATAAACTACTAGAAGGTTTTATTACTCAACAAATACCTTCTCGAAGTATGTAATAAAATCTAATCGGGTGGTATTTTGCTGCTAATGAAGATGAACATGCAGCTCGCGGCACCACGGCACACTGGTTGAGAATCACTGCATTAAAGCAAGAAAATGAGGCGAACAAGTTTAAGTAAATTCTTAACGTAAGCCTGAGAATGCTTTGTGAAATCGAGGCTAAGCGGGATAATCCCTAGAAACTATCTCCTGGGTAATGTATCAGCGTCATACTCACGGAGCCACTGTGGCTCTGGTTCACCAACTTACTTTTAATAAGTCTAATTCTATCTAAAGACCTGTGCAACCTAACGATTATTTGCCGTGTTTTCTATCGGCGATAATGTGTCGAGCAAATCCCTAAGAGCAAGGGGGAGAGAGAGAAATGGTGTTTAACGTTCACTCGACACAAACTAGGTCATTTCGGGAATAACATATTCTTCAATTTTATTTCAATAATTCGCTTGCGCGTAGGAGTCTTTAGCAGTGGGAGGAAACTGGAGGGCCCGGAGAAAACTCACGATGCTGGACAGGCGACATCATTCCTTGTCACGTACAAACGGGGAATCGAAACCACGCCAGTTGGCTCAATGACAGACCTTATAATACAGCGCGTACACAGCTAACACAGTCTCTAAGATCAATAGCTGAATTCAACAAAATAATGGGAGAATATCACTTTAAACATATTCTTGGGAAACACACGAACCTTTAAATTCAATATTGGCTATTTAAATGTTTTGGGTCTACATCCACGCCAAATAAAACTGTTTTGTGGATAATTAGCTGAAGAAAATTCTTTTATAGGCCCAAGGGATCCACATAACCTGTTAATATGAAAAGTACAAAATTTATAGATAAGATTAACCTGACTTTCCCCGTTATAAAAGCTAGCATTTCGAAATAGATTTGATCAACCCCGATGGTCTGTAAGCGATGGATTTTCTTCCAGTAGCACACTTCCAACCGACGAAACTTCCGGCACAATCAGTAGGATTGCATTATCCACCGCACACCAATGATTATTCGTCTGCGACAGAAACCAGACTACATCCATCGTGTGACCGGGGCCCAAGTTCACAAAGCATTCTCATACTTAAGTTAAGAATTGTTTACGACAAATATCTTTCACCCAGAAAAATAAAAAATAGCACATAGTTTCTTACTGATGTATTTGATACATTAAAAAAAGTTTTATAAAGGGCTATATCTTCGTTAAAATAAGGCAAACAATATCGAGTAAATTTTTAACTTAAAGGTACATAAATGGGAGATTAAATAAAGCGCTGGTAGTTCTCACTATAATAGTTAAAAACTAAATACTATTAAGGGAATTTGCTGAAAGTTTCAGTCCCAATGAACCGAGATCTTAGCGATTGAATTTTCGGCCTAGCCTCGATCATCATTACTAACGTCGCTAAGATAAAAACATAGCCTCGATTATCCAGTTCATGATTTAATTATGAATGGAAGTTGAACAGCAAATAGGAACTTAATCCAATAAACATCGCAGGCTAGCGATGCCATCGAGAGTTGATTATGGCCTGGATAAGTTAATTAATAATTTAGATAACATTTCAGGCCTAAAGAAAGACCTGCAATAGGTAGATTTAGCTCTTGCATAATGTATGTTTAAGTCTGAGAATGCTTTGTGAACTCGGGGCCAGGAATTCACTTGACGTCAATGACGATGGCGAGCTTTATCTCACCAAGGTTAATCGTTTATATGTTACCCTATTTTTAAAAAAATATATATTAAAGTTTTACATTTATTTCTATTTTCTTCATATTAACAATAAAACTCAAAAATTTAAATAAATATTTTAATCAACAAGTGGCCTGTATTTATTTAATTATGTTCTTTTTATATCATTTAAACAGTAAAAGTTCATTTTGCATCAAATTTTACTAATATAGAACCTACTTCCTTTTGTATACACCTAAAAGTTAAATGAAAACCACTTAGAAGTTGTTATATGGATGAATATACTAATATAGAACCTACTTCTTTTTGTATACACCTAAAAGTTAAAAAATACATTAACTTAGAAGTTGTTCTATTCAAAGTC